AGATGAGAAACAAACAAATCGATTTCGAAACAAAGACATCGGTCAGTTAAGCGATTATTCTAGCCTTTCGTCAGGTCATCTAGCCGCGAAATGGCAAACAGTTGCGTTAATGTCGCTTGCGTGCTGATATTACGAAGATGAACTGTTGCGATAAACGTCTAGATTAGGAAATCGATAATGAATGTCTACAAAATCGATTATATTTAAAAATCATATTATTTTGATTACTAACGTTAGAAGTTCTGTGCAGGATTTTTTTTGAAAGTTAAAATACAAAGCATGCAAAATATAAAACATGAAAATCCCAATCGTAAAATCGGAATATTAAAATATGAGAAATTTAATTATAAAACATAACACTTTTGTTAGTTTATTATAGAAATATTTAATTAATTTTAGCCGCTGTCAAAATAAATAAGAGGAAATTGCACAAATTGTATAAAGGCCGATTTCCTTCCCATTAATAAGTTGCATAGATAAGACTCGTTCGAAGGTAAAATAAACCAGTTCCCCAGCTTTTAATATAGGTATTTAGTATTAGACATGTTTCTGTGTACCACAACAAAACTCTATTACCAAGACATTCAATATAGTTTTGTATTTAGTGTGCGGTTTCTGACACAAGGATGTATAACAAGAATGTAACCTTTACTCTCCACTGCAGGAACTTTTATACTAAAACATATCCGTCTCTCTCATTCTGATCGATAAAATAGAGATAACTAGCGGACCCGACAGACGTCCTGTCTACACGTCTTTAATTTGAATTAATGGTGGTAGCGCCGTCTGTCGGATCCAATGTAAAACATTCCAAAATCAACAAATACTAATAAATTAAAAATTAATTAAAAAAACATTGTCCAGCGGACAAAATTGTGAATCTAAACCATTCCCAGATCCCCTTGAACACACACAAAAAATTTCATCAAAATCGGTCCAGTCGTTTGAGAGAAGTTCAGTGACATACACACTCACGGAAGAATTATATATATAAAGATAATCTGTTTTTGACAGATGTTTTGGCAGTAGACACTGACAATGAATAGTCAATTTTAAAATTTAAAAAGTGGCATGTTCTGATTTTTACATGTCACAAACCAAGGGATAGGCAATGGTTTTCGGATTTCCATAATAATTTGAAATAACGACCTTGCTGCCATCTATTGACTGTTTTTTTTAAACAGATTGAAATACTAACAATGGCGGTATACTGTCGCAACTCTTTGTAAATTAAACGTTTACTAAAAGAGTTTTAGAGATAAAAAGGTGACTGTTTGAATTTTCTAAAACCTTGACACGTTGCGTCACCCGCGGCGTGGTCCGCGTGGTCTGTAGGGCGTGTGTACACCATCGGACTTCGTGATTTGAGTGACAAGTTAGGACAGTGCAGTAAAAAAGTGTAATTCAATTATTCTTACTTTGTACAACTTGGTTCATTGCTTACAATAAAACGATGCACACAACAAAGTTTTCAACTTGGTACCTGTGTCTTTTTTACTTTTTTTTGAGGTATACTTGCATTATGTATGTGGACCGGCGAGAGTGGCATTGTTTTTGTGATTAATTCTATCTGAAAAATATGGAAAATGAAAGATACATAATAATAGATGAGACAAGACATGACAAGACAGCTTAAGTTCGACAAGGATGGTTGCACTTTTTGGACTTTGACTGGTGCCCATGAACTGTTGTTTTTTCCCCTTTGTTAGATGAGTTACTCGCATTAAAAAAATTGGACATAATGATGCAATACTTCACATTACATTAGACAACCAGTTGTCGCGCGCGACTCCGTCGGTGGGGAATTACAAAAAAACTTAATTTGTAGCCCATGTGTTCTTCCAGACTATGTTCTTATTTCATCAAAATCCGTTAAGCCGTTTCGGAGATATCTTTAAACAAACATCGATCCATCCATCTAACATTTCTAATATCAGTATGAAGTATGAATCAAGTATCGAGTTAAAAAAATTATATTAAAAAAAAGTTTTAACTTTTCTTTCGAAGTGTACGTAGTGATGTGAACGGCTGCATAGGTCGTTAGCATGCGGTCAGCGTGCGGGTCGTGTTGTTGTAACGTTGACACTAGTGATGTCCTATTGCATATTATGTGATTAGCCAAATTAGAAACGATTAATATTTTATGTCATAGTATTGCGCGTATTACAAATGTATTACGTGACCCATTATCGAGTTTATTTTTATGATTTATTTATGTTAACTGATCTTAAAATGGAAATAATTGTGTCATAAGATAATAATTTAAATATGGAAATTATTTATGTTATCAAGCATATGAAATTAAATTAATAATAGTAACGAATTCCTCTGAAATTTAAACCAAAAAATAATATATATAAGTTAGGTAATCAAGAAATGTAGTACTGAAAATTATATTTTGAAAACATTTGTCAATCCTTTTAGACGTACAGATATTTTCAATAAAAATTGTTGATATTTATAATCTTCACCTCTCTACTTTATGTACCGATCTGTGCGCAAGCGCATTCTATCACGATCTTTACTGGAGATTCCACATGCAGTCGTACCAAACTGAAATGTCAATAGCTCACTTTCCATTGCTCGTTATGCTTGAAAAGCATGCATTTTAGTCGACTATAAAGAGTAATGTAGCGTGAACTTTGATTTCATATCGCTCATATTTGATATGGGTCTATTAAAATGTTTGATATATCACGAAATGTTAGTGAGACACGAATATTTATAGAGATGCCTTTCAAATAAGTATTCCCTTGAATATTAATGTATCCAATATAATCTATCGTTTGCTTCTCAATTTTCTGATAAATTAAAATTTTCGTATTTTAAATATATTTTTATTTTGAGTTATTATTAAATCATGATCATCAGATGTAAAACAAAAGAATTAGATATTTTTTTATCTAGCTAGATTTAAAGAACATTCCCATGAATTACAGCAGATGTAATTCTTATTAATATTATAAATATGAATGTTTGAATGGATGGATGAAGCGTCGGTGGCTCAGTGGTCAACGACTTGACTTGCAATCTGCAGGTCCTGGGTTCGAATCCCGCCATGTACCAATGTGTTTTTCGATTTCCGATTTACATATTTACATTTCTCCGACGTTCTTACGGTGAAGGAAGTACATCGTGATGCAACCTGCACATATCTGAGAAGAAATTTAAAGATATGTGTCAACCAACCCGCACTTGGCCAGCGTGGTTGACTATGACCTAGTCACCCTTAACTTAGGGTAGGCTCCGAGCCCCTCGGTGGGGACGTATAGTAAGCTGACGATGAATGGATGTTAAAAGGTATCTGCAGAACAGCTCAAGGAATCTCAACGATTGACATGTGGAACATAGTCTGGAAGAACACATAGGCTACAAAATTAAGTTTTTTTTTTAATTCCGCGCGGACGGAGTCATAGGTGACAGCTATTAAGAAATAAATCCTATTCTGAAAGCTAAAGAAAGATAATATATTGAAATTTGTTTTAATTTTTCGTATATCTTATTAGAAGGTTCGTATTAATCAGTATACTTCGTAGTGATTTACCGTTAGCTGTTAATTTAAAAACAAAGCCATATGCGGCCGCTCGCCATCTCAAAGTAGGTCAATGAGCATACTGTGACTAATTTTGCTCTACTTGTTTGTTAAGGTCAAAGCGTATTTGGTACTAACAAGCATATTAGGTCTCCAACAATATCTTATTCTTTGATGAAATGTACCTCCTTTCATTTTAATTTTTTCTTTTTCTTAAAGTGCCAGATTCTTTTGGTAGGCGACGATCAATGCAATCTGAACTTTTAAATAGAGAAGTTATTTTTTCTTTTAAATCAAATAATTAAATGTTTTCGATCTATAAAATGATTTTAATATATGCATTAAATACTTTTTGGTGAAAGAAATTGACACTTATCAAATCAAAATTTAAAAAAAAAATGATTCAAAATTCTCTACTAAATTACTACGGTCTTCTATAAAGTAGTTTTCGTTACTAAAGTTCTAAATCGAAATTACGCCTAATATAACCACCAAAGAAAATTACACTTCCATATAACCTTAATAATAAAGAGCAAAAGTCAACCTTCCAAACTTATAGATTGAGATTCGAAGCCGTGTTGATTACGATGACATTTGGGTCACCGATTCATAACTTGTTATAAGTACTAAGTGACGATTCGCGTGATAGATGGCGACACTTGTTATACATTTGACTAGAACTAATATGGTCCTAATTACGTCTAAAATTACACGAACTAAAGAAACGAAATAATATATACTTACTAATAGAGGTGTCATTAATATTCTGAAGGCTCAATTTTAATCCAATTTGCATAGATTGACTGGAATCCAGATCTTAACATTTCCTCAATAAGTAACCGCCTTCGCTAAAAAAACATGTAAATTCAGATCACTTATTTAGCTGTCCATATCAATTAATAAAAAACACAACGAATAATATATTTTGCATTTTTCACTTACACTACTTTACTACTTTAGACAATTTACTCTAATTACTAAAATCATGGTAATACCATTACCTTCTAGACTCAAAAACTTAAATTTAACATGTCACATGACATCTATTTGTCTGTGTCTACTCTATATTGAGATAGCGTGAAGTTTTGTATATCAGAATTGTGAGAAACAGTACAACTTGGCAGCAATACACTCCGACATGCTTACAATATTGTTCCACTCAATTACATAATCTGTGATTTCCCAGACTATATAGAATCGCGCAATAAACCTTCACTACTGACTATCGTACTGACCTCTTCATTTGAGAATTTTACAAGACGAAACACTTTATATATAGTCTTCCCTTTCAGTATCCTTATAAACATAGAGACAGAAATATATTGTAGAACTTGTGCTTGGGCAGCACTCACAGACATAGTAGAATAAATGCGTTAAAAATAAATCTTCAATTTTTTTGATTTAAGAACTTTTGCTCGTCAGAAAAATCATCCACAAAATATTTAAATATTCAATTAATTTGTTTCAGGCGCAGCCATGTTGATTACAGCAGTGTTGGAGCTTTCATAAATAACAAATAATACAATGGAATCTCCAGTGAGAATATGCATTGGTATGTATGAATACAAAATATATATAACTAATTTGACACTAATTTGATAAATCTATAAACTAAAATATTCTTATCCTTCCAGGTGCAGCAATAGTTGTAAATCTACTTTTAATATGTACATCAGTGAATGGAGGTCCTTTATCTCACGATGCGAGTTCAACGACCGTTAAAGATGAAAAAACAACAAAATATAGTCGATTGAACAGCACGTGGACAACAAAGAATAAACCTAAAACACCCGATGTAGCACTAAATGAGTTACATCCTAAAGAATCAACATCTGAAGAACATACAGAAAAGAATGCAAAATATAAAGATAGGGGAAGAGTGAAATTCCAAACTCATTTAAAATCTACCTCTGAAAGTCCGTTAAGAAGAATAAAATCCACCGAATCACCAAAATATGTTTCTTCAACAACTGAAACAATGAGATCAGCTAAAATTGTTAACGATATAGGAAATCATAGAGATAAGAAATCACCACAAGTATCAAGTTCTACTGTTTCCAGTACAACGTCTGATGAGATGACAGAGAGCGACGATACACAGGAAATGAATGATTCCCAATTAGCTGAGGCTGATGAAGAGAATATTTTTGATAGGTACACATCTAGCAAATTCCACGATAGTTTCAATCTCCCTGGGTACAGCGACGATGATACTTATAAAGACAAAATGTACAGTCAAACAAAAAATGAATTTAGTAACTTTGATAAAATATTAAATCATTTTTCAAAAGATATGTTTGACTCCAGCGAAAATGATAATGTCCACGGAGACCCATATAACTCGCATAGCTACTTCGATTTCGAAGCAGATCTAACTACACCAAGAAATGATTACTTTGATCAAAAGTACGCTGACATATCGTCTAGTATTATGAATAATCTAGCGTCTGTCAAAACTAAGGCACCAGATATGAATATTACGACTCCCCAAGACATTATAACCGAGAATATAGGATTTGAGAAATTAAGTAATGAGTCACCGAACAACAAATCAATGATGATAATTAAAAATACCAAAGAAATCCGTCGCTTGGACAATGAACAGGCTGGAACGGCTAACAGAGAGTTATCCGATATTCATGGTACAAGTATTTATTACGAAATGTCTGTTCTGTCTACGGAAACTTACAATATAAACCATTCTGATGACTATGATTGTGATAATGAAACTTTACCTGTAGAAACTACTATGAGTACTTCTTTGCAAGAGGAAGACGAGTCATTGACAGCTGCACAACCTGCTATGGTCACAGCTTCCTCTATGCCGGTCACAATAACTGCAATACCTGCAATAGTATTACCAAATGTCATCCAGAATTCATTAAACACAATAATACCCATACAAGATTCGAATATTCCTATTTCTTCTCAAAACTATGTCAGTAATACAGAAAGAACAGTCAAAGTAAGTCCAAGGAACCGTAATTATTCGAAACGACTTAATTTAACTGGAAACAAAGTTTCTCCTAATAGCGTAACTCCTCAAACTATTCCGACTATGAATTCAGGATGGAGACCAGTGACTCGTAAATTTTACTATACGACACCAAAAATTAAACCCATTTGGATGGCTCCACGACGTAATATTACTAAAGTGTATAAAACATCTTATCCAACGACGATTTACGCTGAACATTTTAATATTAAAGACAAGTATTCGACCACACCTCGTCCAATGGCACCACAAAAGACAATATTGACAACATTACCTTCAGACATAGATCCGGTTTTACAAAGTGATGTTAGTGGTGTTGAGAAATTTGTTCAGTCTCAAATAATAACAGATAATACGATACCTACATTGTCGAAAAGAGGCTCTATGAAATTTACTACATCAGTACCATCTACTGCAAATAACACTGCAAATACAGGTCCAACTAATATTATTGGAACCAGTAAAGAGGGCACAAGCAGTTCTAAAAGTCTTATAGAGTCTAGTAAAGAAAATGGTACTGTAGATGATGCCGGTACTACAGTTAGTGTTAGTTCTCCAAATCAAACTCAATTCATAAATAAAATTAGCAGTACAGATGAAAGCAAAATTAGTTCAGGAAAAATTGTAACACCAAATTTAAGTGCATCAGTTGATGAAACAAGTGCTATAGATAAAACTGGAGAAACGGATTCGACTGATTCTCTAAGTGCAACTACAAATTCAGAAAGTGATAGTACAGAGGAAAAAGATTATCTAAACCAAACTGGAACAATAACGGACGGCAACTCTAGTACGACATCAAATGAATCACTGGATCAAACCGAATCTATTAGTCAAAGTACTACTAAAGATATCATTGAAACTTCATTTGCTAAAACTGGTAAAGTTAGGGAAGGAAGTTCTCTAGGTTCAACCGAGTCTGTAAGTACTACGTCTGTAGAAGACACGGATAAAACAAGTCAGACAAGTTCTGAAGGGGTAACTTCAGTAGGGGGGATGACCATAAATGACTTGGAAATACCGCCGACGATGACCGCGTGGGCGCTGGCGAGTTTAAGAACTCCACCGACAATGTCAATCAAAGTACTGAATGGAAGTCGATCGACACAAAAAAATGTCGACGAAAACGAACTGCAAAAAGTCAGTGAACCCGTAGGTAAGTATTCACAAGGTTTTATGAATAATTTAAATTTATTTCCTAATAGTAGTAGAATATGTAAAATTGTCTAAATTATGAATATTTATTACTTTCAGACCTAAAAGAAACAACAACGATGTCGACAACATCGACTACAACACCTGTCGCCGCCCTCACTAATTATGTTTCTAAGAATATTACTGAAATCGACCAAAATAAACTGCCTTGGAAACCGATCACTTCAGTTGACGTAAATGATGAAAAGGAAACAGTAACTAAATCCGAACGATTACCTGCTGAGAGCAACATATCTGTACAAAGTAGTCTAAAGCCTGAAAATACTACGGAAAGCACTCAAACAGAAGAGACAATCGCACTGACGACTGAAACAATTAAAATGAATGAAGTTAAACCTTCTTGGATCCCTGCAATGATAAATGAAACAACGACAGAAGAAACGGACGAAAACGAGGACGAAATTCAACCAGTTGATGTGAAAAAGTCAACTGGTTTCGAATCGATAACGAAACTTCCTTCGGGCGTGACCACGCCTACCGACGAAAACGACACAGCAACAGAACAGTCTGAAGTACGGTCTACTACTGATTATGAAATTACGACAATAAGATTTTCATACGTCCCTACCGAGCAGATAGCAGTAACTCAAGTACCAATTATAAATAAAACATGGCATAAAATTATACCCACAAGAACGAACAAACCGACAACTCCAATAACTACATATAGACCAACATTTTCAACTACAACTGAAGTAACCGAGGAAACAACCACAATGATTATAGATACGACACTACAGTCAGAATTATCATCTAAAATTATTGATAATGCAACAAATCAATCAGACGAAGGTATAGAACAAACAACAACAGAAGAAATGACTACCAGTAATCCAACAACAACTTATCCAACGACAATTAATCCGACGACAACTACTAATCCAACAACTGACTCTACAACGGAATGCGATGAAACCACAACAGTGACAACAGCAGCGTCAATAATACAAGGAACAGAACCTGAAGAAATGCCGCAAATTGCAACTACAACAGAACCTCCAACACAAACGAAGAATGAAAGTTGTTCGGAAGAAAATAGCGATAGCAATGAAGTGATACAAGATACAACTAAACATCCAACCACAACAACAATTATAACTACAACTATAACTACAACAACAGAAAAAGAACCAGAAACAACTGTTATACCATCGACAACAGAACAAACTACACCTGGTTACTCAGAGACAACAATAAAACCTAACGAAAATATTCCATTCGATCATAAGGAATACACGACGACGGAAACTCCAGAAATTACTACGAAATCTATAAATGAATTAGAAGATTTAACAAGTTACACGGATGACATGACAACGGAGGCGTCCTCTCGAGTTTTCACGAATGAAGAGACAAGCTCAGGTGCCACCATTGCGATTGTTGTCACCACCATTGGCGTCATTGCGTTGGTTCTACTCGTCGTTCTATTGGTGAGTTTTTAATTTGATATACAACGTACAGCGCCATCTATTGCCGAGTAGGAAAAATGTTCACAACAAGTTTACTAACAGATTCACACTCTTTTTTAGTTATATCATTTCGTTATAAATAAACTAACTACAAATATATGTTAGGCATTTATATCTCACCTGAAGTCTTGCTATTATTCATCTTAAGTTTTGACCACATTAAAAAGTCACGAAATATCATTCTTCGGACTCAACTAAGTGCCAATAATCTAGTGAAAATAAAAAAAAAATTACACAAACACAAGAAAAAAAACCATCAGTAATAAAATACAAATTTTGCAACATCCATACAAAAAAAAACAAATGTTGGTCTTCTCTGTTCTTTCTTCGTATGTCTACTGGTCTACTGCGGGTCTACTGCAGGTCTACTGGTGACTGTTCATACAACATATCCAAAGTAATGAGCATAATATCTATAGACATAACTCACGATAAATTACGTTCACTACTTTGGAGAATGTTGCAGACTCTTTGCTTCAAACTGGTGACCGTCTGAAATTAATATATGATTTTATTTGATTTTAACATAAAATAATACATAGTCTATACTTTTATTATCTATGAATATAAAAACCAATCACTATTTCCTTCTGTCACATGACGCGTGAAAGTTTTGACCAATTACGAAAATTCTTTTTCGTTCTGTTATTGTCAGTAAAAGATTGTTTTAAAAGAAAAAAACAAAAAAATGGATCACGATTAAATTTGTCATAGATATAAAACATAGTCTGGAATGCTACTTATTTTGTTTTTTAATTCGAAGTTAACTATCGAAGTCGCAAATATCGTTCATAAAAATCTAAAAATTACATGCGATAAATATCCCGTAATAAAAATAACCACTAATTAAATGGATTGCTGTTTTTAAGGTTCCGTACCTCATAGGAAAAAACGGAACCCATATAGGATCACTTTGTCCGTCCGTCCGTCTGTCAAGACAGTTTTTCTCAAAAAAGCGTGAAGGTATCAAGCTGGAATTTATTTACATTCATAAAGTACATACAAATAATTATTTTTTTAAAATGTATAAACAAGTAATACAATAATTACCTCTCACTGCCAACTTCCAATCTCCAAGTTGTATTGAAAGCTGAAAATTAAATAAAATAATATTAACCATTAGTCTAATACCACAAATCTCTTTTTTATATATCATAAGGTGGCAAACGAGCGAGTGGCCACCTGAAATCGCCGAAATAGCGAAGTGACCGTTGCCCATAGACATACGCAATTGCATATGCGTTGCCTACCTTTAATCGACGGAGGACAGGATGCACAGAAAGAAAATATTTTCTCTTTCCATGCATCCTCTCATCCGGAAAGTCCACTTCCACTTCCCAACCCTTCCTCATAAGAAAAAGGGTGGGAAGGGAAAGAGTACTAAATTAGGACTCCGAGACGCACACTCATTAGACGAAACGCAGAATTGCTTCCACTCGATGACTGTCTTCTGTATGGTCGTGGTATTTCACCGGGCGAGCCAGGCAAGTCGTGCGAAGTTGTTAAAGTGGGCTGTACCACTGTTCAAACTTACTCTCTAATAAACACAATGCTTTAATCTTTAATAAGCTTTCAAGTTTACCAATTTCTCAAAAATCAATAAAAGAAATTAAAAAAAAATTAAACAAAAATAATGTAATCTTGGATCCATTCTGTTGTAACATAGCAACTGCAAGTTGGTGTCATTTTTAACGTTTGCATCGCGTATAGTGATAAAAATTCCACAAGTTTGCAACCCGAATCCTCTGCCATAGGACACTGTCAGTTATGACAGCTATAAGAACACGACCGCTGGATAATTCATTCACTTCTGTTAATACATACTTTTGTTTATAAGTACAGTCAGCTACATAAATATGTTTACAATTGCTAAGCTTCAGAAATTTGTATCCGCTTTTGGTTTTAAAAATATGCACGAATCGGTCCCTATGTTTCCATGAGTACATGTTTTTGACGAATACCTGCATAAGTATTTTTGAAACCGACGGTTTAAACAATTTTCTAAAGTTTTATAAATGTATACATATTACGCAGCTGACTGTACATGTTATATGAAGGACAGAATAACCGTAAGTTAAAAAGGTCACTTATCGTGGGTTTTTGAGGCTAAAATCTCCGATTAAAACATATAATCGTTGTTTTGTCAAAGATAAGGACGATATGTTTAATACAGAGCTTGGTCTCAGAAACCCACACTTAGATAAGAAAGTTAACGTAGTTACTAAATATTTATAACTATTATAGGAAATTATAAGTTAACGATAAGCGGAGTTTTAAATTTTAACGACGTAGCTAAGGTAAAATGTCAAAAACTATTAGTAAGGTATAAATTATGTCGTCATCATCAGCTCACTATACGTCCCCACGGAGGGGCTCGGGCCTACCCTAAATTAAGGGTGATTAGGCCATAGTCAAACGCGCTGGCCAAGTGCGGGTTGGTTGAATTCACACATATGTTGTTTTCCTTCACCGTAAGATCGTCAGATAAATGTATATATGTAAATCGAAAAACACATTGGTACATGGCGGGATTCGAACCCAGGATGCAGATTGCAAGTCAAGTGACACCTGAGCCATCGACGCTCTGTTAAACTAAATTATGTAAATATGTTTAAATTTAGCTCCGTAGTTCCTCGCTTTCGTTCGGAATTGTATCCTGAGCCATAAATAACAAAATAGTAACATAGAAAAGAAAAGTAAAACTAGGCACTACACATTCGAGTTAGATAAAAACATAGCAAGTAAAATGTCACGGTAGTTTCTACTCTCCTTATCAAGTTTCCACTGTACATGAATTTATCATCTCCATCCATCTTAACTATCTTTCACAAGAAGTCAACAATATTTAAAAAGTATATAGGATTAAACTGATATATAAACACGGCTAAACACTCACGTATATACGTCCGATGGCGGCACCGACTAGTTTCGAGCCCATCGGGGGCCCTTCATCAGGATGAGTGGTACTGGTATTATTTCGCGGACGCGGCCTGTCGCTAACCGGACGTATATACGTGAGTGTTTATCCGTGTTTATATATCAGTTTAGTATAATGTCTCACGAAAGTTTGAATAATTTATATAGGATTAAATACAAATTCCGATGCATGATCAGTTCTGATTAAAGTCCCGAATTTTTGATTAAAAAAGTTTTTTTTTTATTATTTCAAAAAGTATCTGAGACTAAAACATGTCCAAGATATTATTAAAAAATAGAAATACAATAATTTAAAAATAAACAAAAAAAAAATTCTTACCGATATTTTCTTGCAATAAATTCTTTTGTTAATTAACACATCAGAAATTAAACATCTAATTACAATACCATGATAATTCATTAATAAAATAACTAAGACTTCTTTCTTGAGAAGTGAAGTCTGTTCCGTAGTACTGGTGGCGCAGGAGTGAGAGCTTAGGGTGCGTGCGCCGGCGCAGCGTAGGGAAAAGCACATTTATAGTGCACAGCTGCACGAAAGTTACGAATAATTTGCCGACTATTTCTTACCTATTATTCAGGCTTTAAATATAGCAGTATTTATATTACTATTCTAATCCATTGTTCGAAATTCGAACACAATAACCGTAGGTTTCTGACACCAAAATCTCTTTATAAAACATATCATCGTCCCTGTCATTCATCTTTGACGAAACAGAGATAACAGTATGTTTTGAACGGAAAATTTAGTCTGAGAAACCCACGGTTAATAATGAAACGTTTTTTTACTATAAATAATTTTTTAAATATCATTTTCACTTTCATCTATTTACGTAATTTCCTTAAACAGGTTCTAACTTTTCACTTCACCGATATACTGCGGTTCACGTATTTTTTTTGTATATTTTTATTTAAAAAAAATAAAGTGTTCGGTACTTTCGCTTCATAACTTAGCTGTGCATTTAGCTAGCCCGGCGCGGCCCCGCTAGATGTCGCCGTATCGCTCAGAGGATGTTTTTAAAACGCGAATTATAAACAAAGCTTAGCCGATGACGGACCTCAAGTGATTTCCACTTTATGTGTGTCGGGATCTCAGATGTCGACACTAATGATTACACTAATGATGAATTTATAATAAAACTATTTACTATTTATAAATTCGTCACATTGTCTTAAAAAATTCTTCACTTCGTAGATTGTAAAAGGCTTGGTCGGATGGTGTTATTAAGTAGAAACTGCAATAACGAATAAGTTCTGTTTTCTATTAGCTTAGGTTAGCTTTAATACTACCGAGATTGAACTTTATCAGTGAAAATTAATCTAAACTTTAACTATGTCATATATCGAAATTACTTGTGAGTATTTTTTTTAGTACTTACTGTGTACCTGAAGGCAAATGTTCGACACAAAGGTACTATGGACAAGCGCCCTATAGGAGTCGTAAATTAAGGTTTCAAGTGGAGATTGCAACGGTCGAAATGCCGTTGCTTTTTCTCACGTCACCATGATAGTGGAGGCCCTTAGAACATCTAAAGCTGTTGACAGACCTTAAGATTAGGTAAACTTCAATTTTTAAATAGAAAGTGTTAGTTTTAAGTACTACATAAGGATACTTTGAAGTGGTCGCTACAATTTTTCAGCGTAACGCCCAATAATGAAAAGAATGTAATCATTGGATTAGGCATTTGTGAGACCAACTTAGTGTATTTTAGAAAAATCCATTGAGTATTTTTAATATATGGATTAGAAACAAAAATAGCTTTTAAAATTATTTAAAGGTGTAGTTTAACGGTTTTTTGTTATTAATAGACAGCCATCCTACCGTTGGTTACTGAGAAATGATAAGCAGCTAGTGTTTAGTTACGACTTCTTGCAATTCAATGAAAAGCGCAAGCGTCTGCTAATTCGGACCTTAGGCCATAATTATTATTGCGATAACTACGATATAGGTGTCGCCACCGGAAACCGTTAATCATAATACATATATGACACCATAAGCCGCACTCAAAGTTGTCCCCCTTAGTGTGGTTTTGGTGACTCGCATGTGGGACTTCTGCGGAACTTAACTTCCTCCATTCTTGCAGTTGGTAGTCCGTCGTCGTGGTAGACGCGGTGTGTACGCGCAGCGCTGCACCCCTGTCTCTCTAGATGCGTACAGCCTGGACAGCGTGAGCGTCGGACACAGGAAGGGAAATCACCGATTGTGCAGCAAACGAAGTTACGGCAACCCAGCGTATGATGATGAGGTAAGAGAGCGAAGACGTCTCGGTATATATCAGTACATGGAAGCCATGACGTCACAGAACATGAAAAAACACTATATTTATCTCCCAGGTTACCTCTCATCCAATGCAATACTCGGCGTTAGCCAACTTCGCTTTAGACGTGGAATCAATATCGGCGGAGTTTGCAGAGATTCCTTCAGTGTCCGTGCCCCCCGAGGCCGTGCCCCCCGGCTGCGAAGACAAGAACAGATACTCCAACGTGCTCCCACTGCCGGAGACACGTGTGCCCCTCACCAGGCTAGGCAATGACCCCACTACGGAATATATCAATGCTAATTACGTCACGGTAAGTTTTGCTTGTATAATTCACTTGGAAATTTAGTACGACACTTTGTTATTCGGCGAAGCAAATTGAATTCATTCACTTTGTTATATTTGGGTAATCTTTAGTGACATATAATTATACAATAGTAGATGTTAAATAGTAGCCTGCGCTCTGTTTGAAAGTAAAAAAAAATAGTTACTAATATTCGTCTATATAGTAATGACACGCTGTTCCGAATTCCATCTCATCGGTTGTGGGTTCCAATTGTTGTAAACAACAAATCGTACAAATTCGAGCATAATTGAAAAGGAACCTTCAAGGGTCATATCTTATAGATAAAATTCTTGTGTCACAATGTTACTTACCATACTCCTGCGAAACGACTTGACCGTTTTTTACGAAACTTTATATGTATATTCAGTAACTCTGATAATTGGTTACTATCTATTAATCCCGCGCGGACGGAGTCGCGGGCGTCAGCTAATTGCTTCAGTAATGTAGTAAATATATGCAGGGTCCCGGCAACATCCGCAACTACTACATACTGTGCCAGGCACCGCTCTCTAACACTGTCGCAGACTTCTGGCGCATGATCTGGGAACAGAACTCCAGACTCATTGTCATGCTCACCGAGTACATGGAGAATGGTGTGGTAAGACAATTCTTTTTATCAATTTTCGTGTAAAATTTTAAAATATGTAAATTTCTTATACGGACGAAGTCGAGGGCATCTAGTAGTAATTAATAATAGAGCCGGCAGTGTACAAAAATCTTACTTGTTTCCAGGAGAAATGTTACGAATATCTCCCCCCATCCGAGGTATCCGACAACAAACGATGCTTCGGAGACTTCCAAGTGGTACTCAAGAAGCGGGAGCAGCGTGACAAGTACGCCATCTCCAGTCTGCAGGTGATACACCTGGGCACCAGGACCTGGAGAGAGGTCACCCATCTTTGGTACTTCTGGCCTGCTAAAGGAGTTCCAGATGACTACGACTCGGTGATCGATTTTATATCAGAAATGAGGAGTTATATGAAGATCTCGCAGACTGCTAAGGAATATGACGAAGAAGGTATGTACTCAAATTTTTTATTATAGTAACTTTTTTTTTAAGTATGATGTTAATTTTTCTTAACTTTAGGTGTGGAAGTAATCTATGGCGACGATTCAAAGTCATCACTGGATAATCTGTCGAAGCTGCGAAGTGAGGGACGCGCTTCGGGCCGCGGACCGCATGTCTACTCCCCTGCCAGGGCAGAGGAGATGATGCGCTCCCACAACGGCACACTGCGTACTCAGGGTAATTTTAGAAACATGAAGACTATGCATGACCAAGATGGTACGACTTTTCATCTTATACGTAGATTTACTAACAGCGTGTAATATTTCTACCACATTCAAGATCACTTAAATCCTTTCTTGAACACTTTGTATATAACAGGAATGCTTTACTTTTGTATATAAATAAGTTTTGTTGATTGCTGATGTATATCAAAGATCTGTGTATTTAAAAATCACATATGGAATCTCACAAACCTACTTATATCACACGATTAAAAGTAAATTGGCACGGTTATCGATTAGAATCCTTCATTAGAGTCTCATAAATCATTAACCATGAGTCGGTACAGTGAAAAATGATGAAATAATTGTTTGTAAATGAATTCCAGGTGTGCGCCCGTGCGTGTGCGTGTGCGCGTCAGGCGCGGGCAGGTCTGCGGCGATGGTCGCGCTGGAGACGTGCGCGCGCGCGCTGTCTGCCGGCGCGGTGGACGTGCCGCGCGTCGTGCGTCGTCTGCGCGCTCAGCGCCCGCACGCACTCGCCAACAGGCACCATTACATATTTATATACAAGGTACTTGTTATCCATCTCAATCTTTTTAGGACGTAACATTGTGTTCTGCACACTGTGTTGTAAAACCTACCACACCTTATTATATGACCCAATCGTTGAACTAAAACCAACGGCTCAAATCGAAGCGCCTGGGAAAGCCCTCGCTTTCTGCAACCGAAATTGACGCTTATACTGAAGTCTATAGCGACACTAGCAGTCACCCGCGTCACCGTTCACGCGAAATTAAAAAAATAAACAAAATTAAGTAGCCTATGTGTTTTTACAGACTATATTCTACATCAATGTCAAATTTCATCAAAATCCGTTGAGCCGTTCAGAAGACGTCCATCCATACATCCATCTAAACATTCGCATTTATAATATTAGTAAGATTTATGATGTAATATTACAGGTGCTCAGTGAATACGGGAACAAGCTGATGGGCAGCGGTGTTGACAACATCTGACCACAAGTACATGTTATTTGAATGAACTGACTGACACAATGACATCCATGACACATCTCACTATTGTCCACTACATTTCGTTAATTACTTTTATTAGGTGCGTTGTTTTAGCTTATACCAATCTCATTTTTTCTAATATTTGTATAAAAAACGTGTAAATATTTGTACACGTAAAGAAATTGCGGAAACGTATGAAGGACGCAGATAAAGTTAAACCAGATGTAATAACTATTTAATATGAAAATATATTTGATTATGAATTACAGTCAATTTGGCTATAATTTTTATCAATGGTGCGTCTTTTTGACAACTTTATTTTAGTACAGTTAAACCCAATTTCGACTAAGCGATGATGGCGTGACTTTTGAAGTCGTTTGATTAAAATCCCTATCTTATTTTCACTGACGCGACCATTGTTAGACACGTGCAGCTAGTCGTAGTGGAAAATTGAGAAGAGAATTGTTAAACACACTGTTGTTTTGTTTGCATAATAAATATACATAATAAAATAAAACATTGCACTGAAATAGTTAAAAATCACTTGTGTAAATAAATTTACACGTATTATGTTAAATAAAATTATTTTAATTATACCAAAGTGCACGAAGATCTCGGTTACTCAAAAATTTCTATTTAATTTGGTACTTGTTTCGTTTGCACTTTAAGATTTATTCTAGATCTAAGGCATATATGATAAAATTCTATAATTGTACATAACAAGAGTTCATGAGATTAAAAATTTATATAATACCCAGTAGATAGTATAAAAAACGCACAAACCTTTTACACTTTTGCCGAACCTGTGTCCACTCAAATAGTCTTTAAGAAATAGATTTAATTAATTTTTAAATTTATTTGTAAATAATATTAATTATAAATGATAGTTGCATATCGAACAATTAATGTTTATAAAATAATAACCACTAGTCTCTCGATTTTTATCAATAAATAATTGAATCTCAAAAAAACAGTCGCTCCAAAATTTTGACAAGCCACGCGCGGAGTAGAGTGAGCGAAATAGATATACATTAGAGCTGTTAGTGCGAAAGAGATAGGATTAGTATACGTTCCTTTACAAGTTTTGCTGCTGTTTTTTTTTAATATCTATGGTTCTTAAGTGGTATCGAGATCTGCTGTGATTTCTACTAATATATTCCTAAGATTCATTATTTAAATACTAATTTTAGTTAATATAAAATTTATATAAATTATATTTTAATAATACTCGATTTAGATTTGATTTTTATTATATTTTTTTTTCTGTTATATTTGTTTATAAATTAATTTTATGTATTATTTGTTTTGAGCATTTACATGGTTAAATAGTACATAATGTATTATTATGTATATGATAAATGTTTATAAAATATATTGAAAATTTTTTACTACTTTATGACCAAAAAATATTTTTTATATAATTAAGTTTTGCCCTACGATTAGCTTGTAACTTAGTTAAGTAACTTAGAAAAAATAATAAAGATTATTTGAAACTGGAAATTATTTATTGATCCCAAATGAACATCTTATACCCAGTGCATAAGTTGGCACGTAGGGCACAAAAGTACCTTTGTTTTCAACGTGCCAACTTAAAAGGCTGAGTACTATTTTATTTATATAATTTTTATTGTTCTTGGATATCTGTCTCTGATATATCTTCAGTGATGGATATATCAGATTCATCATCAGCATATAAAACTTCATCATCAATATTTTCACATTCATCACCGAATTCTTCAAACTTATCATCTTTTACAATCTCTTCATCTATTTCATTTTTAAGTTCATCTTTTGCTGTTATAAAATCAATATGCTTTTTATCAGATTTTTTATGAATTATTTGAAGTTCGTTTTCATGATTTGGTGTAACAAATTGGTCTTTGTTTGTTTGTTCTTTACTTATAAGAGGTATTCCATATGACCCAGCTAGTGATGTTAACGAAGAATTCTTGTCTAAAAAATACACATTACATCTTCATCATCATCATCAGCTCACTATACGCTCCCACCGAGGGGCTCGGAGCCTACCCAAAGTTAAGGGTGATTAGGCCATAGTCAGCCACGCTGACCAAGTGCGGGTTGACTTCACACATATCTTTGAATTTCTTCTCAAATATGTGCAGCATCACGATGTTTTCCTTCACCGTAAGAACGTCGAATAAATGTACATATGTAAATCGAAAATCGAAAAACACATTTTTACATGGCGGGATTCGAGCTCAGGACCTGCAGATTGCAAGTCAAGTGCTTGACACCTGAGCCATCGACGCTCTCACATACATCTTACTAATAAATACGAATGTTTGTTTGAAGATACCTCCAGAATGGTTGCATGGATCTCGTTGAAATTTCAAAACATATTAAGTTTTTTTTGATTCCTCGCGGACAGAGTCGTGGGTGATAACTATTAAGCAATTAATTTTAATATAAGAGCGTCGATGGCTCAAGGGTTAAGCAAGTGACTTGTAATATGCAGATCGATTCGAATCCAGGCATGTACCAATATGTATTTCAATTTACATATGTTCATTTATTCGAAGTTTTACGGTAAAGGAAACATTGACTTGCGCAGGCTTGGCAGTAAGATGAAATATTTTTGAAGCTGCTTGTTTTACTCAAAATATAATGGAAAATAAGTCGTTTTGGTAATTAGCTTACATAATAATTAAATATTTTTTCATACTTACACGGCTTGCAATTGCTCGAAATATATAAATCTTTAATCTAAAAGGAAAATATTTATTATTCCTACTGACAAAAGACGTATAAGAACAGTCATCCCTTTCTTTCTTATTGAAAAAGACAGAGATATCAATATGCTTTGAAACTTAAAATATGACATTCAAACGACTAATATAAGTGAAAAGCAACTCACTCCCCCATCATACGCAATGTTTTTGAACATACATTGGGAACTATTGGATGACGAAGCTTCAGTTATTTGATGGTATTTGTTTTGTCCAGCGTCATAAAATGCCGGCTAAAAACCAATAAACATACTGTGATACCAATCTTACTAATATTATAAATGCGAATGTTTAGATGGATGCTTGTTAGAAGATATCTCTAGAACATAGGCATGGATCTCGCTGAAATTTGGCATAGATGTAGAACATAGTCTGGACGAACACATAGGCTACTTCTAGGGTTTTTTTTTAACTCCGCGCGGACGGAGTTGCTGGCGACAGCTAGTATTAAGCAATACCTGTTCTTCATTTGTTTCAGCATGTTTTCTATCAGGTGATCCTGACTTCAAATACGATTCTAATGTGTACTTAGCCGCTTTCGTGACGTCATCATCTGAACCCTTAGGGAAGGAATATAACTTTCAAGTCAAGTATAGTGTGGCCAGTATCATTTCTATTTAGTATTTTTATAAATAAAAAAAGGTTTATTACTCGATGTTATTTCTTAGCTTTATATTGAAATTTTAACCTTAAATTAAAAATGAAATACTTCATAATTAAGTAGGATACATATATTAAATACTTACATCAGAGTTTGTAAGCTGTAGGTTTCGTTTGTAGGCGGCCTTAACAGCTTTTTGTATGTCCGGTAGTTTTTGTTTATCAATGTTTGTTCTCAATAACTTAGCCATCAATTTCTCTTCTTTCACTGAAAAACTTTGACTTTATACGACTTTTACAGTATAAAACAACGTGGAATACAACATGGGCTGGTTAGGCCCAAACCAATGAAAAACTAGATGTGTTTCGATTACGTTTTATCTTAACCATATGTCAAACCTTTATTTGCTTTATTTGCACACATCTTTGGTGGTACATTTAAGGGAAAAACACTCTTTTATAACTACGTTGATACATAGGAATCACAGGCGGTCAAAGCTTTAAAACCCGTGTTTAAAAACAATATGCAATTGTATTATTTGAAGTAAAATAGCATTTGGTTCTACCAGAATATTGTAGAATTATATTTGTCGATGTAATTGCTTTAAACTAAAGCTTTTGGTCTATTTGTCGCTTTAAAACTCTTACAAGCAGTCTGTTTAAGTTACAATAGCTTTTATAAATAATAAACATACTGAGTAACTTATTTATAAGCGATTTTTGTTTAAAAATTTTAACCACTTGATAACAATAGCGACATAGAAATAATTCCATGATAAGTATTTCTTGTATACAGGCTGTCCCAAAAGGTTACGTACATAGGAAGGGGGATGATAGGGGTGGTCACAAGGGTCACCAGTAAAATAAAATAAAAATCCCCTCTGGGTATTAAAAAAAAATAAATGGCATTTTTTAAAAACTTAAAAATTTTACACCTTCTGGGGCAATTTTGTAACCGATGACCTACAAATATTGCTATATTTAAAAAAATGTTATCGTCAACCCTTTAACAATATGAAAAAAAAACAATACAACTAACAAAGATTTTAAAGAAAATTAAAATTGCCCCATAAGGTGTAAAATTTTAAAATTTTTAAAAAATGCCATTTATGTTTTTAATACCCAGAGGGGTTTTTATTTTATTTTTCTGGTGACCCATGTGACCACCTCTATCATCCCCCTTCCTATGTACGTAACCTTTTGGGACACCCTGTATAGTTTCGACGACACAAACTTTATGTTCTAACGAAAATATTACACAGATAAAAAAAAACCAAAACCTTTATCTTTCTCTAAATATTGAATTATAATTGTCTTAGCTTCTACGATTTCTTCCTGTGTCAATCCAATTTTTCCCAGTTCGTCATCCAACTCCGGTTCGCAACCGCAGTTACAAATGCCTTTACATACATGTCCAGCAATGGTCAACGTTTCACGCGCAACCAACATAGCGGCTAGATAGTCAGCGATAAATTGGTACAGGTCCTGTGGTCTGGCTCGTAAGACCTAAAATGATGACAACAGATGATAAACAAATCTTTAGACACAGTTAGGAATTGTACGAGTTAAATAATTGTTCCGTAAAATAACAAAAAAATGCGTAACAGACCTCTCTAGAAATATCGCACATTAAATCCCTGAGGCCCTCAGGGAGTGCCAACTTGCAACTGTCCTTAATCTGGGACTGCAAAAGGTCCTGCATCTTCAACAAATCTATCCAATTTAGGTGACAACAAAACTAATAGATCGATCTAGACCTACTAGTTAACGTATTTTTTTTTATAAAATCTCTTTTAAACCAACTTACTGTGAAATTTCGAACACACAAAAGAAAAAAATTTAAGAAATAAAATATTTTTTTAATAACAACCAATAATATAAATAGATTTAAAATACAAATAATTTTGCATTCATCAATTAGAATAACGAAAGTAATAAATGAAACAGTAATTAAAGGTAAGAAAGTTAAGCAACATAAAATGTATCATCTTTAACGTCGACATTGTCTTGGTCTTCTATTTCTGCACTTGTCAGAGACGCGACCGAGGAGACCGGCGTGTAGTCAGGGTCTTTGTCATCTGCGGATATTGCTATTGTCAATTACAACAACTATAGTTCGATTAATTTATCTCACCCGGTGTATATTCTTGAAGGAAAACATCGTGATGCTGCACATATCTGAGAAGAGATTCAAAGATATGTGTGAAGTCAACCCGCACTTGGTCAGCGTGGTTGACTATGACCTAGTCACTCCTAACTTAGGGTAGGCTCCGAGCCCCTCGGTGGGAACGGGTAGTGAGCTGATGATTATGACATAATTTGAGTAGTTTTGAGGAGTCATAAAATATTTAATGTTTACCAAAACTATTTGGTATATCTTCAGGTATTTCTTGTAATACGTCATTTGTGATGTCATCGAGTGCCTCCTGTATCGCCTCCTGAATCTCAGGGAAATCGTCATCATCATTAGGAATCATTTCTGGTGGCATCTGTACATAAGAATTCGCTTTTGCATTAACTGTAAACATAACTAAGCTCTGTCTGTTCTAGCTATAAATTCCACTGGAGCTGTTTCGACAGTCATGAAAACGCTAGTGGAAATGTCCTTACAGTGGAGAATGATATCTTGCGAGCTGGTGTGCCGAGCGCGCGGTGGTCGAGGCTGTAGCTACGATCACTTGGCTGCTCTGTGAATACGTCCATAGCCTCGCGTTCCATACACAGCGGCTGTGTGTCCTCTATATCATCCTCCGGCCCACTGACATCTAGCGGTGATATTATTAAAAATAATCCCACTGACCTTTATAAATGGATAGGCGATTGCATGGAAATTACATTTCCTTCAGTCAGATTAATATGCGCCTATTGATGTTACGTCACAGTTAAATCTATCTATATTATTAGTTCGAATCCACACCACCGCTCCAAATCACTACCATCAGCACCAAAATGGCGGAAATCAAAAAGGCACAAAATACCACGTCTAATAGCCAGTCCATATAAAGAGGTCAGTCTTTCTGCAGCATTAAGAGTAATGCTACTTAATATGAAATGTCAACTGCAGCCATAAAATATCAATAAAAGAAAAAACCTCTTGATCTAGCATCAACTTGGACCATGCGTATTTCGGTCTTCATAGTTCCGCAGATGGGCCACGTGCCGGTCTTCCCGGTCTCGACCGCGCGACCTTCATCAAAGTCATCCTCAACGTGGGTCAGAGTCTTCGTAGGATGGTAACTGAGACCTAGAGTCGCGGTCGCCTGGTCTTCGAACATCGCGTACACGTTGTCTTCGCGTACTTTGATTTTCTATTGAAAAAGAGTGTGGTTATTACATTGAGATACATTCGCATGACTGTTGGACCAAATATTGTCATCCCTCACTTTCTCTTTGAAAAAATAGAGACAACAAGAGTCACTGCAGTCGGAACTCAATTACTGACTGTTGTGACGTCATACGTTGAGTTGTGTGATACAATGCCACATGAAAAACATGAGAGCGAGTTACGAAACAGTTGTTATCTTGTTTCCATTGACAAAATATTTGTATAAAAACATTAGTTATCTGTTCTCTTAGAGACAAAGAAAGTGAACGTTTCGTCAGTGGACACACTTGAGATATATATGGTTTGAACCACTAATACATGATCTCTACTCGGTAACTCACAATGAGCGGTCCAAGGTTAATCTCCCTGGAGCCCCCGATGTCAGGCGTAGACCCTGGCGCCGACTCCTGCGGGCCACTCCTCCTTTTCTTCGGTTTTAAGTGCTTCAAGAGATTTCTCCGCACATGATAACCTCTGTACGCGGCCTGTAAATTACAAACATTTAAAACAAATTTGCGTAATTCTGAGGGCCCATCTGGTACCGACGTGTGAAGACATGCGGTCGCAGCTAACCGCGAGCCGCCATGGAGTTGGAACCTTATAATACCTGTATTCTCTCCGAGGCTCTGTGGAGTTCGTGCAGGCTTGGCTTGGTCTTCTTGTAGAGCGCGAGGGTCCGCTCTGCCGCTAGCTGCCATGGCTCATCACCACGCATCGATGTGCTCTGATATAAACATTTTACAGGTTCACCATAACATGATATGTTGATGACACTCAGGGGATCTATCCGGAATTTGTATGAGACTTATATAGGCATGGCCGTTGAGGGCATTGTACAAATCTAATACAAATTTAGTAGATGATGTTTACGTATAATTTCACGCAAATTTTCGTGCTAGGCCCTCTGATCTTTTCTCGTCACTGTCATTCTATAAAATAGGCAAGGTATTTTGTAGAACAATAAATCCGTTATCTGCTTTCCATTCTTATAAACAATCACAGAGCGGACGTGATTGCGAGAAAGCTGAGCTCTTAATTAAAACTATTTAAGATATACAACCGTTGTTGATAAAAACTTCTAAGAACAAATATAACGATAAGTCTTAAACTAATAGACCAGTATACTTTGAACTATTTATAAAATGTCTTATAAATATTAATTTAGCAAAAACGCAAACGCTTTTTAAGGTATAAGATTAAAAAAAAATCAAAGGGTAACTAAATAAGATTGCAATAGGTCGCGGCTCCAAATGTATTAAACAGAATTTACAATGAGTAACAGTAATTTTATTAATTTTTTCGAATATCCAATGTCAGAAACTATGGTTACCAAACCATTTTTTTAGTGTGTGTTAGTAAGATAGTGACTTATAAAAGAAATTATTATTTATTTATTAATTTAGGATTTAATTCTATTAATTCTTATAGTTAACTTACATGTTCCATTAATTTCTTTTTGTAGACATAATCTTTATAAGCGTTCCTTACAATCTGACAAACATTTGCCGCCATTTCTTCGTCCAGAGGTACACTCGACAACATTTTCTTTAATATATCCGATTCTTTAATATTCTCTGGAAATAAAACTTGTCTACTAATTTAAAACACGTTATCAATAAAATTAATTTAAGAAATAACACATTTTATGGTTTACTTAAAATGCATGTACTGTGAAGTTTTTTGCCGGTATTTTACCGCTAAAGCAATATTTTGAAAGACATTTACATCTTGAAATGACAAAAGTTGGTAAATATTGTAAAATACTGTAAAATATGGAGTATACAATAGTTAGGGAAACAGTGGCCCTACACGAATATTTGTAACAATCCCTTTCTTATCATCATCGTCAATCATGTTAAAATTTGTCAAGATTTTTTGTGTATTTAACGCCCGATAGAGGCGCTGCTATTGGCGCGCACAAATAATCGAGTGCTAGTACTTAGTAGGTAACTATCAATTGTTTTTTTAATTGGTCAAAACAACGTAGCATGCAAAGTTCAAGGCACTTCTGTAACTAGAACACCGTTAACATATTCAACTGTACCTTTATCATCGCTGGTCTCGACAGTTTCTAGCTCGTCTTTTATGATTTGCGCGAGAGTCTCCGCTGAGGTCCGGTCTAGACCAAGCTCTATCAAATGCTGGGAGACCGACGGTCGACAGTCGCACAAATCCTCTAGGATCTTGACCGCCATTACGCCGTGCTCGCGCGTTATTAAAAGTACTGATAGATAATTGCTGATGAATTCGTGGATGTTCTTTGGTTGTTCACGAAGTACCTAGCTCATTATAAGATTTTTCATTATTATTGACAATTTAAACTAATTTTTAATACGCTGATAATGACTGTATTATGGCTTATGGTTGTAGTTAACTATGTCTTCAGCAAAATCACCATTGGGTACTTAATAAAATAAATGTGAAATCAGATTATGTCATATAAGTAAACATATAACGAACTTGTAAGTATTTTTATATCGAATTTGATAAATAAATAACCCTTTCATTGCAGTTGTCTACACTTAAGCTATCACAGTAAATATGCATTTGTACTTCTCTAGCAATATCCGCCATTAGTTCCTTGAGTCCTTCTGGTATTGTGAACACATTGGCACAGCCATGCTTCTGCAGTAACTCGTTCATCACGCCAATAATCAAAACAAATCAATTATTGATTTTATTTTTGAAGAAGCTGTTACGTCAAAAATCTGACACATGTTTGACATTTTATGCCAAATATTTTTTTTCAAAAAAGAAGTCTCAAGGTACATTTTTATTAATATTATTTTAAAGTTATTATTAACGTTGTGTTTATTTATATCATTATTTTATTATTAGGAAATAACTCAAATACAAGACAGGAATACAACTGTAATTTAAAAGTTACAACAACGCCTGTGGAATATAATAGCAAAATTGTATAATTGTGAGTTTTATATTATTTTGTGATCAGAATCACAATTGAGATATAAAACCACGCTTATAATACTTTTGCTTCGATTATTGTAACAAGTGACTATTTAAATTCAACAAACATTATTTTTTTTAAATTCAAACAAGCAAAACATGTTGAATTACATTTTATAAAATTGTTTCATTGAAATAAATTTTTCACTTCGGTTATAGTCCACTTATATTTAATACAAAATACAGTAAGCACGATTGATATATAAGTCTTTGTACCTAGACTAATCATTCTAACAACTCTAGTCTATTGTTACAGTCATTCGATCCTGTCTGCGCAAAGGATTAGTAAATCCATAAAAAAGCAAAGCTGCGGTTTGTTACACGCAATTATTTATCCAATAAAATTAAACAGAGATTACAAAATTAACATCCAAACAACAAGAAAAAAAATTCAAACTGCTTATATGCTATTTAATACTTATTATAATTACATATATCTTACAAATCAAATGTAATTGAACAATAAAATTATGATGATTTTTATTGTTATTTACTAAACGACAATAGATGGCGTAGCTATCTTATTACGGTAGCCATTGTTTATTTAGCCGTTCCTAATTAATTTATTTTGTCTCACGAAAGTTTAAACAATGTAAAATTAGTTAATTATTTTAATATTTCATAATCTTGTAAAACAATAGTGTAATCTAATCTAGAATGATGTACATACTTGTATAATATTGAAAGCATATTCAGTTTTTTTTCTCTAATTATAAGACGAAGTTCATAATCGTGGTAGTTTTGTTTATTTTTACTTTTTAATTAATTGACGGAAATAATACAATCACCCGCCTTTATCATAAGACATACAAAAGTTATCTTTATTTGTATTAATACTTCTTTGTTTGATAAAACGCTTTACTAGGGCATGATTGTACGTAATTAATATTATATTGTACCTTTTTAGCACAAAATTCAAAGATTCGATTCCTAGCTGAGAATGAATGCAAATTAATTTATTTGTCACCATTACTTCAACATTGGTTGCCGATTATACACATTTTGTGTAGCAATATCGATGAGTTTTCCCCAACTTCCTGGTAATTTTATTTTATTACACGATAAATACTTACTAAACTAAGATAACAGCATTATAAATTTAAAAAATTTATGCAAACCAAATTCGCATTTTTATATTTTCATTAGCTTTTATTCTGTTTTTGTGTTTAACATCTCAATTTATCTTTATTAGTCTTTCGTAAATAACGTCTTTATTAGTTTTGATAATATACATTAACTTCTTAATTACTATCTTGAAATTTCTTAAAATTAAAATATATTAAAAAGTTTTGTTCAATAGGAAGATTTTGGGTAAAATAAAATCTGAATATGGCAACATTTAAAAAGCCGCAATACAGATTATAAATGTCAGCGGAGTTGATCACAAGTTGACAAACGCTGCACGAGCGCGCGCGTTAAATGTGTTGGAATTCATAGGTGTGTGAAATTTTGTCCTTACGATAAAAGTGTGTGTAATTATTTTAAACTCACGAAACAATAAACATTTCGTAATTATGTGCATACGGTGGTAAATCTGTACGTGCTTTAAATACCAGCTTTCAATTCATATTGTGTTTTGGAGGGAAACAGTGACAACAAATTATTGTTTATAAATAAACGGAATATTGACGGATCAATATCTTATGATATTGTTATGATATTTACTTAAGAATTATTTTTGTAATAAAAGTAAGTGTATTAAAAATAAATAAAAAATGGAGGTATCAACAGCAAAAGCAATATCGATGGTTGCTTTAGGAGTCGGCAGTTTTATTACCGGTATGATACCGGCTTGCTTCACAGAGGGAGCGAGACGGAGACATCCTCTTTTCATTTCTACACTCCTATGCTTCGGAGCCGGTGTTCTTCTGTCAACTTCTTTAGTCCACATGCTTCCCGAAGCGCGGGAAAAGTTACCAAAGTATTCTGAACTGATGTTATGCATTGGATTCTTCATCGTTTACTTTGTTGATGAGATGGTGCATTTGTTTTATGGCGGTATGGGACATAATCACCAAGGATCTAGGTATGGAAGTGGGGAAGTTACTAGTTTACTTTCTCATGGTAACGATGGTGAAATGGACAGATGCTGCGGGGATAATGGTAACCAGAGGATTTGTCATGTTAACCACACGCCACCGTGCAGTAGAAGTTCATCAGGAGTGATCGGTCTGCTGTGTGCCTTGTTTGTGCACAGTCTGCTTGAAGGATTGGCGATTGGATTGCAAGAGACTACTTCCCAGGTTAGTTTATTATTTTTTGTTAGTTTATATAAGAGACTGATGATTCATAATACCAATACGGTTCTTCCCCCACTGAGTAGCTTATTCACAAGTCAAATCTTACTAATATTATAAATGTGAATGTTTAGATGGATGGATAGATGTTTATTTGAAGGTATCTCAGGGACGGCTCAATGGATTTCGCTGAAAATTGGCATAGATGTAGAACATAGTCTGGAAGAACACATAGGCTAGTTATTGAGTTTGATTTTAATTCGTTGCGGACGGAGTCAGGGGCGACAGCTAGTGGTACTATAATTTAGTCATACTATGCGTTTACACGCTCTTCTTGCATCTTTGTGTGGTGTCTTTGTTTCAATGGCGAGAAATTAAAAACTAAAAGATGTTTGTTATGTATAAGACCAAGTAAATTATTCCATGGTTAGCCCATTGTTATAGATTGTGTAAAAAAGTTTTTGTTACGTTTATTATTATTAACGCAAACACTGTGTCGAATTCAAAGACATGTTACTAATTATGGAACTGTATGAAGTTTATGTAAGAAGTATGAAGAAAATTATTGGTCGCAGCGTAATGTTATATAGCCTAAAGCCTTCCTCTATAAATGGACTATCAAACAAAAAAAGATTTTTTCAAATCTGACCAGTAGTTCCTGAGATTAGCGCGTTTAAACAAACTCTTCCGCTTTATAATAATAGGATATTAAAAAATTAGTTTTGTCTGTACATGTTGTACGTACGTTGATTAATGGTACGTATCGAACGCTAAATAATTTATAGATTTTCGTATAAATGTCAAATATTCGATTTGAATACCTCGTTTGATATTCATTAATTTTGTATCACAATTTATGTAATTAAATAGCTATTTAATAATAATTAGGCCATCAATTATAGTTTTACCAATTTGCTAAATGTGAGCACAGTTATATCTTTAATAATATATTCTCGATTTGACAAAGATAATTACAGGAATGATGATATATTTTGTACATAGATTTTGGTCTCTGAAACCCACGGTAAGTACAAATTGTAAGAACAAAGCTGTACGACACACCTTGAATGAATTCTCAAATCTTGCGCAAAAATCAGAAAATTCGAGATAATTTCAAAAATAGTTCTTATTGTTTATAACTTCACAGGTCATTTTTCATTAAAATCATTAACAAGGATGTATGGACAATACATCGAGCCTGTAATTTAATCTCTCTGAATGTCACGGACTGCGAGCGTGACCGTATTTCCTTTCATACGAATATCGCTCAGGCATAAGTTTTTTATCTATACATATAACAAAATTGGAGTGTCTGTATGTAATATAAAAATTCATATTTCGTGCACATGATTTGAGTTGTTGATAACGATAATATTTTTGTCTGTCTGTTCACAAATCCGTGTACGTTCCGGGTAAACTCAGAAACGACTGGGCCGATTTTGACGGGATTTTTGTTTAATTCGTACGCTGACGAAATCCTAATCTTACTGAAGTCAAATACGTGTTATGTATTTTCACAGAATAGTATTATTATTTAAAGTGACTTGACCTATATTAATTCAATAAGAAATACTTGAGATAACGGTTTTATAATGAAACTAGCGGACTCGACAGACGTTGTCCTGTCTACACGTCTTTAATTTGAAAATTTCAATATTGTTTAAAATTTGACACTGCGATGGTAGCGCCGTCTGTCGGATCCAATGTAAAACATTCCAAAATCAACAACTACTAATAAATTAAAAATTAATTAAAAAAATATTGTCCAGCGGACAAAATTGTGAATCTAAACCATTCCCAGATCCCCTTGAACACATACAAAAAATTTCATCAAAATCGGTCCAGTCGCTTGAGAGAAGTTCAGTGACATACACACTCACAGAAGAATTATATATATAAAGATATGTAATCTTTGCCATTAATAAAATTTAAGTGTCTGTACTTAATATTAAAAAAATCATATTTCGAACACATGTATTTGAGTTGTCGATAACGATGTTAATTTTTTTTTAATTTTGTCTGTCAGTTTGATCGCGATTGTTCCGCGTTAACTCCGAAGCGATTGGGTCGATTTTGACAGGAAGGCAGTTGATGCTTACGGGAATATTATGGACTACTTTTTTTTAATTCCTCGTTGACCAAGTCGCAGACGACTGGCCAGTCTTCATAATTTTTTTCATAAATACCAAGCTAAGCATATCCTAAAACATATTGCCATCCTTCTTTAAACAAGACTATTATGTTTTGATACAAGTGTTTTGCAGTGGAAACGGATAGACTGTATAGAATGAAAAGTAGGCGATTGGTATTCGTACGCTTACAAAATGTAACCTTGTATGAAATAACGAAAGGTCTGTGCATGTAACCTTTTAACGAATATATTGTTCAACGAAATATACATTGAAGTATTGACACCATTGAGAGAATTCATAAACTTTATTCAGGGGGGCTAGTATGAATATATGTGACATTCGCTATCGTACCATCATCGTCAATTATGTTGAAATTAGTACGAGATTTTTCCTGTACTTAACGCGCTGTACTAATACATTTGTCACAACAAGATGGCGATTATCGTAAACATTTGTGCTACCTTCATTGGTTCGTTTTCAAATTCACAGATGACTGTCGCTTTATTTAAATCTAACATCAATAGTACATTCTTAATTTAAAATTCTTCCACTTCTGTCGTTTTGTCTTCAGTTAAATTATGTACATTAGTTTTATTTGATCAAAGAAACGGTCTAAGGAATCGCGGTATTAAAATCACCCGAAACTAATAAACAATTATAAAACTCATTGATTTCTTCTCTGCTTTCGCTGCGCCGCTAACGGTTGATTTCTGAGACCCAAATCTCTGTACAAAATATATTCCTCTTCTACAATCTATCTATGTTTGACAGAACAGAGTTAATAATATGTTTTAAACGGGGATTTTGGCTTCAGAAACCTGTGCCTTTTTCGTGTACATTCATTAGTTGTCTTTTGTATTTCCAGGTGCTGCTCTTGCTAGGCGCAGTGGCAAGTCACAAATACGTGGTCGGATTCTGCCTGGGCGTGGAGTTGTGTGCTAGCTTCGCCCGCCGGCTCTGTTTGCATTTGACGTGCGTGCTTCTATTCAGTGGTGGCTCTGTTGTCGGTATTGGCCTGGGCGCCGGTATGGATGCGTTTAGTTCAATGAAGGATTCTGCTGCTGTGCCTATTATGCAGGTTAATATTGTGATGTTTTTATGATGATTTTAAATGATTTAGTAATTATGATATGTCATCAATTGTTTTTACTCTCGGAATACTATAATGTTAAGAAAGTAAGGTAATATGTTTAAGTTTTTTTTTTATTTCATAAGGTGGCAAAAGAGCAAGCGGCCACCTGAAATCGCTGAAATAGCGAAGTGACCGTTGCCCATAGACATACGCAATTGCATATGCGTTGCCTACCTTTAATCGACGGAGGACAGGATGCACAGAAAGAAAATATTTTCTCTTTCCATGCATCCTCTCATCCGGAAAGTCCACTTCCACTTCCCAACCCTTCCTCATAAGAAAAAGGTTGGGAAGAGAAAGAGGACTAAATTAGTCCTCCGGGACGCACACTCATCGGACGAAACGCGGAATTGCTTCCACTTGACGCCTGTATTCTGTGTGGTCGTGGTATTTCACCGGGCGAGCTGAGACAATTCGTGCGAAGATGTTAAAGCGGGCTCTACCGCTGTTTATAGAGGGAATTTTCAGTTAGCAAATATTAACATCATAATTAAAAAGTAAATGATTGAATTGTGTTCTTTATAGTTCTAATTAATAAGATTTAATATTAAATTAAAATTGTTTTTGATTAGATAAAGCGCGTGATTATAGTTTTAAAGTTTGATATGTGATGCCATAGTTTAGTATTTTGTTTCAATCGTCTCATTTGATTTTAACTCATTGTCTGCAAAACAGGTTTACCTGCAATATAACAAAATGCGGGTTCTATTTATATTTAAATGAAAAAATGCATACTATATTGCTAATGAAGCTTCGGTTTAGTAGTTTATTTTTAAAATGATATTCATATTATTATGTTGGTATAACGACAATTCTTTGTTGGTGGTAAGGGTTTAGACGTGCATTGGCTTTGAAGCGATTCAATAAAGAACTTCAAAAATGTATGAAACTAACGTGATAATCCCTTATTAAAAGTTATTGTCTGTTCGATATACTTAAGTTCGTTATGGAATCGCATCGGAGCGAACTTTGTCTAACCCCCTAGTTCTCTATAAGAAGCCAATTAGAAGAATAAATTTCATGGATAGCTTTATGCAGTCGACAGCAGCATCTAGTTAACTTGGTGGAGGCATATTTCCAGCGACACTGATTGCTTGAATCTGTTTGTATACGGCTTCTCTGATAACTTCAAGCTTCTTTGTGAATATGGTGCAGGCGCTGGCTGCAGGCACTCTGCTGTACGTGACAGTGAGCGAGGTGCTCCCCCGGGAGCGCGCGGCGTGGCATGAGCGGCGGCGAGCGGCGGGCGTGTCACAGCTCGCTGCGGTCGCTGTCGGCTTCGCACTTATGTACATCACCACGCTCTATCTCGGTGAGTTATTACAATATGAATAATGCATTTTGAATAGATGTATGGATTTTTTTAAACTAACCTAGATAAAATGTGGAATTAAGATAGAATATATTCAATAATAAAAAAAAAAAACTTTATTGTTTTTCTTCAATGGACAGGGGTCTGGTGTCCAAACTAAGGTGACACCATTAAACCTGTGTTATGGATCACTAGGCCTCCGCTCCAGAGACCAAAAAATAATAAATAAACACATAATAATCGACATATTTTTATGAATAGGGAGGGTATAGGTACTTTAATAATGGACTTTAATAATGGACTTTAATAAATGACATTTTTTGAAACCATAATTCAATGTTGGCGTCCCCATCAGAGGCACTGCATAAATAAGTTGCTATAAAACATTTATGTTGTTCAAAAACTGGACACATAGAAAACTGTATAAAAAATAAAATAAAGCGATCTACATCTAAACAAATCTTGTATAACATCGTTGAGGAAAAACAGCATGTAAATTGTTTTATACGGATAAATGTTCCACTGATTTGTCCTGTCTCTGTGTTGCACATTTACGGTCGCAATAGTGACTTGAATATAAACAAAGTAAATCTCGTCACAAACACAAATAGAAAATGATACCTTTGCCACGTTTTGTCTTATGTTCTGTACGTCTCAGACACCACGTGTAATACGACATAGTAGAAGATCGACTAATATATTTATTACTAAGATAAGAGTTAAAATCCTACCAAATTTATAAAATTATATTATACATCTGTGTCATAGTTTATTTTTTAGTGGAGCTAAGAAGCAATGATAGAATGGAATATGAAGGAACATACGCTTTTTTTTAATTCCGTTTTTTAATTTCACATTTTTGAATTCGATCGACCTTTTATAATTTTTTGGTCAATATACATATAAGGATCATAGCAATAGTGTTATTCTTTATCGTGACACTAGCAGTCGCACGCGACATCCTCGCGGAGTTCAAATAGAACATAATTAGTGGCCTATGTGTTCTTCCAGATGTATGTTCTATATGTATACCAAATTTCATCGAGATAAACGGAGTCGTTCTGAACTTTCGCATTTATAATATCATTAGTCATAATTATCATCATCATCATCAGCTCACTATACGTCCCCACCGAGGTGCTCGGAGCCTACACTAAGTTAAGGGTGACTAGGCCATAGTCAGCCACGCTGGCCAAGTGCGGGTTGACTTCACACATATCTTTGAATTACTTCTCAGATATGTGCAGGTTGCATATTAGTAAGAAATATATAATCAATCGGTTGCATTACTACAGTTATAATTGGTGATATAATAATTCAATCTCATATAAATGTATAAATATAGGAGTGTTTCGATATGTTTTATATAACCTTGTATTCCCGGAGTTTAAATATTTGTAATATGATGATAATGTTTACTGTTAGAATTGATAGCGGCTTTGTGCGGGAACCTTCGTATTTTGATAACGAGGCAGGTGATACAACATGTTGGACAACATGCATATCGTTTAATAAAGGAAACTTTGTTTATTCGTATATAGAAAAATTAGTTTCAGGGTTATCAATTTGCCCTTATCCCTACGGAGGGTCGGCACAGTATGTCCTCAATACACCTCTATCAGCCGTCATATCTGAATCTATCCCTTTCCTATGCGTATCCTCTTTCTCACAGTCATTCCATACTTTTTTGGTCTTCCTCTACCTTTGTATATACGTGACTTGCGCTTTAAAATTAAACTCATTTTTAAAAGTAATACTAGTAATTGTTTTGTAACAATAGATGGCGCTGAGATCAATTTAATCAAATTAGTTTAACTACTTGACCACAGATGGCGGTAGTGATATTAGTGAATGTATTCATGCATTTGGTGCCGAGATTCCATAAATTACTTTAGGCGTAATAATGTTTTTTGAGTTTCATACTTTTTTATTTTTTTTCAGATGAGGATGTTTAACAACGTAAGTAAATCAAGACAAGTTTAGTAATTAAGTACTAAATAATTTTAAGTTGAAGGACCGGAGTGATTGACAATAAAACATTTGTGTATTTCAGAGTTTTATTTTAATTGTGATTTCGATGTCAACAATATGTTATAAGTATAGTATTTGATATGACTGGATTTTGACACCACAGTTTGGTTTGATTTATTTGTAAATAGATATAAAAATAGTTTACAAGGTATTTGTTAACATCAAATATATTTTTAAGGTTTTATATGACTGTTAGACTTTACGATGAAATGTTTTTAGATTTAAGAAATAAATAATAAAAACCAAACCATGTTATCATTGAACCTAATTCGGAGTACGAAGAACCAATTTGTAAGTACATAAATTATGTATATGTGTATTTTCATGTAACAATAAAAATAACCCTTTCTAGGGTATTGCATGGATTCGATATAAGATAGGTTACAAGTTATGAAAGAAATTGTCTATAATTTTTTTAACATGATCCCTATCCAATTTGATACTCCATTGGTTTAGCTTCTGCACAAACTTTCTTCCAGGTATTTATATATAAATCGCTTAAATACATTTGTTAAATTATAATACATGGCACCGTTGTTACGTTTAAATTTTTATTTATTTTAAGAAATAACGCCATCTATCGAGCGGAATCTGTTACATTTTGCTATCCGACAACAGATGGCTCTGACAGTTCAGACGGGAAATACGTTAGTTTCGCACTGTTACGAAATACGTTAAATAATCTCAGTCCACAATACTATTTCGCGTTAATATTTACATCGATTAACATTGAAGCGACTTCATTATAAACTAAAATCCATACTGAATAGCGGAATACCTCGTATTATTTAACAGTATAAATAAATGAATTAATGCTTAAATTAAATATTAAATACGTTAAAAGTATTACAAAATAGAAAATAATACAGATCTTTGACTCGACGTACTTATATATCTAAAAGTAAGTACAATTACTATATGACAAAATATTAATACAAAAAAAAAGTTATCTTTGAATAAATACTCTTAATTAAGAAGGTAAGAGAGAGAGAAGAGAGCATTGCAAATGGAACTTTAGTAGGACATCACTACGTCACATTTTTCCCTGGAAATATGTCAAAAAATATTATGGCAACATTTGCTTAAGTCAATATAACCTATAAGTTGCTTTGCTTTTTAATATTTTTCCTTTTTTATTTATGATCTTTATTCATAATTTATAAATGTCTGACGATAAATAAACAGCGTAGATAATCTATACAAAATAATTAATTATTGTGTCGCAAGTTTCCTGATACATTTGCATTTTAATAAAGTTATTTAAATAAATATTATATCGTCTACAATTTTATTTAACGACAAAGATATAAATAATAATAAACACTTTGTAGTGATGTCCGTGGAAATAATATAGTTTCAAAATTCGGTAACTGTAAAATAACTTTAATGCCAACAAATAAAAAATAAAATTCGCATTTTAACCAGATATAAACAGATTTTATTTAAAAATATGTAAAATATATTTTTAAATTTCCTTTTTAAACTACAAGGAACTGTATTATACGAATCGTCTTGATTGAATATATTTTGTTATCTGTGTGTTTTGACAATATGACAGGTTTTGCCGCCATTTTTATTTTTACCTGTTTGAACTTTAAAATTATAACAATCATTAATATAGATTTCCTAAAGCATCTTACTGCTATAAGTTTGTGAAAATTAGATATAAGTTTGATTAGTATTGTTGGTATGAAGTAAAAATAATTCGGCGGCGAATTTTACGTGCGCTATTGAATAAAATGAATGCGATTTTGTAATGTTGGCATGTCGGTGTACAGCAATAAGGCGATAAGGCACGGCCGCGGTTATGAGCTAAGAAGCGTAATAGAATAGACTTGAGTTCCGAAAATAAATACATTGAAATACATCAACCGATAGCGGCTCCTGACTCGGCATCGGTAACGTGGGATTATTTATGTTGTGCCGTATCTACTCGTTATTATGTCTACGTACGAGTTTACGATTTTGGATTTAGATGCGTATAAATTGTGAGGTCAAGGGTTCCATTGAATATGAAGGATTTTAATTGAATTATGTGTGTACAGTTCGGTGGTTTAGTCGACGATATCGGTAACAGACCTACCGATCACACTACCTGACAGACTATTTGAACTTGGGTATGCGAAATGCTTAAGATGAAGTCAAATAGCTACTTGCGAAGACAATATCGAAACGATACGACACAACAGTGATAACTATACTAAATACAATTTGTTCAATGTCAACACGAACTGTGTCACTGCACTGCACTGCACTGCACCGCACTGCGCCGCACTGTGCACCACTCGTCAAGTGTCATCGTCCTCCTCTTGGCGGCGGTTCTTCCTCCTCTGTCGGTGGCGCTCGAGACGCTTGCGGTGCGCGGCTTTGCGCGGCGGCTTGATCTGACACTCGCAGCCGGCGCGCACTATCACGTAGTCCATCGACCAGCCGCCGGGCACTGAGAAGTGACCCTCGTTGCGCTGCCGGTGCGGCACCTCGGTCGTGTACCGCACCAGAGCGTACGAGTACGAGTACTTTTGCACACACTTGGAGTGGTTGTAGAGCCGCGAGTCGACGAAGCGACACGGCATGTCCTTGACGCCTGGTGCACAAGACAGCTCGTACAACCGCTGTGTGTTCTCGCCATCCTTGTATAGCTCAACGTAGAGGCCGGTTGGCGTCTTGCCGCCCTTCGTCTCCACCATCTGCACGACGGAGGGGCAGCACTCGACCTCGTCGCGCGCGGCTCCTTCGCGCCGCAAGATGGCCTGCATCTCGCGCCAGTGCGACCGCTTCCACGACGTCGCCTCCATCTCCTCCTCCGTCCTGTAATACACAATTTACACTGCTGTATTCTTGATCAAATTAATTATATTGCAATAAGGATGGAGCAATATTTATTCGTAATAAATTTGTATTATTTTTAATAAGCTCACAGAATATTATAAGTGATTTTGACTGGTTTTGGATCTGAAGCATTCGGATAGTAAGATTTTTGGGTTCAAGTGTATATTAAGCAATTAATCAATTAATGATTTTATTGTTTTATTAACAGCAATAGTGGCAGTTTGCTGCGCTTTGGTTGTATGAGTTGTTAGGGTGTTTGAAGTATTTGTTTACATGGAGTTGGTGTACTTGTGGTGCGCGGGCGCGCGGCGCACGCGGCTCGCGTTGCCCGCCACGGCGCCCAGGTACTCGTCTGCGCCCGCCACTGCCCCACACAGCACCTGCACGCACAAAAACACACAAGCATTACTTAAAGTGCGTTTCCAAGGTCCTGATTTTGCGGATACATCTATGAAATTCCGGGAAATGCGTCATTGTGATTAAGGTAGACTATCCACTTTGGGATCAAATACAATTGTAATTACACTTCAATTATCAATATCTGTTCACCCGTTTAGGGTACAATAGAAGCCACAATGAAATGGTAGTCAGTGGGGTATTAAAAACGTCAACTTAAGTTATTATAAACTTGTCAACATCTATAGCAAAACCAAATGTTCACAATAGATGGCGGTTTTATTGATTACCTAATCCATAGAAATAGATGGCTATCATTAAATTCAAATAGTTATCTGCAAACCATAGATTTAGAAATAGTTGCAATGCAAATGTAGGGACATGAAATAATCAATTAGATAAGATTTGACGAAGTTAACGCAGATGAGATTACAAAGATTTATTGTTGGATGTGAATTTTGTTGGTGTCAGTAGACAGCGGATATAGTCATAAGAGTAGCGGGTAATTGAAACTCCTAGTAATTTATTATATTTATAATAACATATAAATAATTGTACATTGATAATATCAATTATAAATTAAAATTGTCGTCAATATTGTAATTTTTTTTTATATCATAAGGTGGCAAAAGAGCAAGCGGCCACCTGAAATCGCTGAAATAGCGAGGTGACCGTTGCCCATAGACATACGCAATTGCATATACGTTGCTTACCTTTAATCGATGGAGGAGAGGATACGGAAATACCCGTCAATGGTAGACAAGACTTAATACCAACACTTCAACATTCTAATGACTAACTTAAGCATGAACTTAGGTCCACAGATTATCCTCTTGTTGATCTCTGCCTACACCACAATGGATTTACTTTAATAACATCTACATCCAATTAGATAAATCCCATTTATTTGTTCTTGTTAGTCATTGAAATATTGAAATCAATTGCATATATTTGCATATCGCTATTTAACGTCGAATGTAAACACACCCTTATGACTTGCGAATTCCATTCATGTCGACCAACAAACAAATAATCAGCATGAGAATTATAATTGCCTTTAATATTTAAGTCTAGTTACGTATAAGGCATATCTTACACTATAAGCCTTTAAGCTACTGAATTATTCGCTTAAAATCAAATAAAAAATTATGTCCTTTGACCTGTTGAAAAATCTTTTAACCTGTTGTATGCAAAAACTAAAAATATGTATTTACGAGGCATTTATTGTGCTTTTCATTACATACTACTCCAACCAAAATATATCGGTTAATAATTGTAAAAGATTAATCATTTCTCGAAAGATGCAAGATTAAAAAATTACGGTTTTTGTGATTTCCATTCCTGTAATAGTGTGTACGTGCCCTTATATTTGCTATTATGTCGCGAATTGTCTCCAAAGATTTGATAAGTGTCGTGAAATAGTTATGGTCGCGTTTACTTCATAATTTAAGCTTATCTCAGCTGTACCTTAGTGATTAGTGTCTCTAGGTCCTGGGTTCAAATGCTAATGTTACAACAATGGCCACAACTGTCTAAGTATTACGCGATTAATTGATTTAAGCTCCTGTTATACGAGTATGATAATTAATTTAACAACAAAATGTGATTTCGTTAAAATTTAAATAATTTAAGGTTCAAAATCACGGCTGTGCATAGGGGTTAGTCAAAATGCATTCGCTTCATAGCGATTCCATAGCGAACTTAAAAATGTATGGAGCGAATGCACTTTGTCTGACCGCCCTGGTGATAATTTTTAACGCATAAAAAAGGTTATTTTGCACTACACTCGCAGATGCTGGAGGCCATTTTTCTTACTTTAAATCGAGTTCTAGTTAAAGCTTCTTTAAAGTTAAATATATGAATTTATTCACATAATCTGGAAATATATAAAAAGCCCTAGGGCTGACCCCTACTGTTCTAACGCTTGTTAAATGAACTTCAAGTTTACTACAGTATTGCGTGCTTGCTGCAATAGCTAGGGGTGACAATTGCACAATATTTATTGTGACATATAAAATGCATTTTATAATCTCACTAGTTTCTGTAATCCGTTAGTTCATGAGCAAATACGTTTTAGTTAGAGAAGGCTTCTAGAAGCATTTCATAATTAAACTATGGATTTTTTATACTTCGCAGTAATAGACCTTGAAATGAAGATATTTAGGTAAAAATTCGTAGTACCTTAGTACATATTTAATTCAAATAATAGTAAATTAACCAAGCCGCACTTGGCAAGCGTAGTTGACTATGGCCTAATCACCCCTAACTTAGGGTAGGCCCGGAGCTCCTGGGTGGCGACGTATAGTGAGCTGATGACGATGAATAGTAAATTAAAACTTTTTTGTGTTTATTTATGCAAAAATTGCCACATTTTTTTATATACGTAGACAGTGTGAGATTAAAGAGAAATAATGTGAGAGGCGTTTCCGACTTTAGCGTCCGCCCATGTCTGTCGGTATTACGTAAATACGTTATATTAATCGTAGCATAATTAAACGTTTCAATTGCGACATACGTTCATTATTTTATAATTCGTATTTGTCGTGTTGTCTAATGCAAGGGATTAAGATTCAAATTCGTATGACAAATAATTGTTATATTTAAATAGATAGTAAATCGGACCAGACAAAACAATCGGTTTAGGTTACGTCAAAAAATTAAACTTAGTACTACAAGTTCTCGAAGTTATTTTGGTTGTTACAAGATATTTTTAAAGTTAATTTGTTTTTTTTTTAAATTTATTTACAACTGGCTTGTTGTAAAAAAAAAAATAGCTTTATTTTTTATTTCTTATAAATATTTATCTCTGTTTTCCTTTTGAATCCATTATTTTAAAAGATAAAAAAACAATAAGCTTATATTATGAGTCAGCATAGTTTTGTATTCGATTTATTAATTGAAATTAAAAATTATTAATATCTGTTGTAAGAGTACATTTGTAAAAACCAGTCATATTTGACTTGCAGTTTTATTTGTTCGAGTCAACTTCGATTTTATTTCGAGTTCTACTAAAGTGAGTTCATAGTAGTGGTTACGGGTGTGGTGTCAAAAGTGTTATGGCATGGTGGCAAGCAGACACGGCGACCCATTTCTATCAATCTTGTTAGTCTGGCGCATTTAAACACGGAACCCGGCAATGCTTTGTTGTCCGAATGTCGGACACACGCCGGCAATGGTAACAGTGGCCATAGCGAATAGAAATAGAATTACCATACCTAATTGGACCAGATTTATGACCAGCATGGTACATGTAACATTTTACGTGTGTAATTTTGTGCAGTGAAATATTAACTACAACTATAGATGAATATAGGTTTTACGTATTTCAGTGATGAATTTAAAGACATCAAAATTGCAAGGTCTAGCATATAGATGGAGAATATATTCGCGGCTTAAACTAGTCTCAAATTATCTCTATATATAACTAGCTTCAAAAATTAACTAGATATAGTAGTTTTCAAATATCTTGGCGGCTCATAACTTAGTGCATTTAGCTACGCAGACCACAATGTAATGCACGCTGATGACCTTGGTCCGCCAAGATATTTGAAAAGAACTATAGTAGTTTATGATGATTCTATAGTTTATTGAAGAATCGAATAGGTATACTTAATAATCAACTATAGCTTGCCTATAAAGTCATCGTGGTTTGAAAGTATCTATTGGCAAAAGAGACTAAAGTGTCCAATGAATTACACTCGAAAAATAAACTACTTTCAAATAATTTTTACAAATTAATAGACCGAGTTTACTAAGTCCTTATGTGGGTATTGTTAACTGTGAGTACGTCATAGTTCATTCAAAAATAGCTTGCTATTACGTTTAGTGGATGCGATTTACTGCGGAGCAATTTGCAACTGTTCCTGCGGCAGGAGGTAAAACTTAACCTATAATTTAACAAACGTCCATTCCACATTCTTATTGTGTTTAAACTTCCCATACTATTGTGGGTGGAAAATATTCTGTGAAGTAAATCGTAAAATACCTAAACTATATATTTGCGAAACTCACGAGTACTTACGAGTTTGTCTATTTTTTTCTGGACTCTTAGTTTCACGTATTTTTAGGGTTCCGTAACTCATAGGAACAAAACGGAACCCTTATAGGATCACTTTGTTGTCCGTTCGTCTGCCTGTCAAGACCCTTTTTTAAATTTCAGAAACATATCTTTGTTTTAAAACGCTTTACCATAACTTATTATTGAATTACTTAACTCTATATTAATTATTAAGTCACTAATTAAATTAAAATTAATCTACCAAAATAATACTATACTATAAACTAAAACTAAACCAAACTAAATAATATAAAAAATCGATCCCAAATCGCTGCGGTCGCACGGTAGGGTTCCCAAGGGGCTGGCGGCATTTCCCCGTTGGATGGCCGTTGGTTTTCTTTGTTTTGTTTACTATGTTCTAGTTATGTTTTTTTCCAAAATCGATAACTCTACGGTGAAGGAAAAACATCGTAATGCAACCTGCATATATCTGCGATGTAATCCAGAGATATGTGTAAAGTCAAACAAAACTGGGCTACCTGGTAGACTATGACTGGTCACCCCTAACTTACCTCTGAGCCTCTCATTAAGAACGTGTAGCTGATGATGATCAAAGAACTCTAACCAACTTATTTCTAACATAACTATATTACTTACATTTTTTAATTGTTCACTGCTGCACAAAACAGAAACTACACAGACACAGGGCTGTGAAATTTTACGACAAGAGATAATTAATATGGTTTTTTTTTCATATCAAAGAAGATTGTTAACTTTAATCACAAGTTAGACAGTCGACCTACTGAGAGATAAAGTTTCCATTTAGTAAGGTGACACTGGTTCATGTTATAGCGTGGCCTGACCATTACTACGACGATAAATTAACGAATACCGTTCTGCAGTAACTGGCAGTAACCCAACACTGTGATATACACGTTATTTTTAATGACTATAGTGGGCTTTCACTGAGGAAACTTACTATAAGAT